ACATGTAGGAAGTCAAAGTCGTCAGAAAAAACATTAGTGGAGTAAAGTACTGATACCAGTGAAATGTACTTAAGTACAGTAATGAAGTATTTGTACTCCACTACTTCCCACTCTGCTGAAAGTTGGGTTCAATCACGGTTTACTAGAGGGTATATTTGTTGTCTTTCAGGAATAGATATCAGGTTGCTACGATTCTTAAGTGTTCCTTCAGGTTTTATCTCTGAAGAGCCGATGCTTTAGGGCAGGGGTGTGAAACTGAATGGGGGCAGTCCGCCACTGGCTCTGTGTGTGTGTTCTGAGTGTTTGTTTCCCTATAAAAAAAGCTGCGGGGGAAGCAGGTACTCTGCGAGTCACGGACATTAATTCATAGATCAAAGCAGACTGGTTTACAAACACTCCTGTTTTTCCAATCCGGTGCTTAAACCAATAGCTCTACACCCCTGGCCGAAATGTCCATAAAATTAAGTCTGACTTCAAAATATAGTCTATCTCAAATAATGTATGCTCTGTCATTTCCCCACGTAAACATAAAAGTCTGCAATGAAATGGTTGTCTAATGTGTGTTCCACTTCCTCCTTGGTGCATCGGTAACTTTCTCAAAAAAAATAAAGTCAGGAAACGGATTTGTTTCTCATGCGCACGAGAAACGAATCCGTTTTCCTGACTTTATTTTTTTTCTCTCTCCATTTTTTTTTTTCCATGTCCCTTTAGGGGCTCCGTAGATTGCCTTTTACACTGTTACATTGTATTTTTAGTCTTGTATGTGTTTAACAGAGACATATGTTAAGGGTTTACATGTCAGGGGGGCAAAAGGAAGTGTAAGATGGGGATTTAGAAATGGTTAAGGACTGGTGGTTTAATGGTTTAATGGTGGGATGGCGGACCAGCTGTTTCCTCTCATGAATATATAGCAGGACTGTAAGCAGAACTTCTTTATCCTCTGAGGACGAAGTTGTTCTGTTCCTGCATTTGAGATCGATTTCACTTTCACATTACATTAATGCACACAATGTACACAATATCTGTTTTCTTTTTTTATTGCTTCCGAATTTTATTCCATACTTTATTCCACTTTATTCCATTCTATTTCTATGTCAATACTGCTATATTTGACTATATATTTTATTATTTTAAATATTTTTTTTTATGTTATTATAGTGTTCTTAAAATAGTTCTCTATCTGTGTTTTACATTTTTGTTTTACTTTTATGTATGCACCGACGACACCAAGTCAAATTCCTCGTACGTGTCAACCTACCTGCTAATAAACCTGATTCTGATTGTGTATTGACTTTCTTTATTACTTTATTAAATATAACAAAAAACAAACTTTGTCCATGAATCATAAAATCAGTTTCTCTTAAGAATTTCCTCCACAGCCAAACACTGCTCAGCGTACCTCTCTGAGTTCGGGTCGGCCACGTTCACATCGTGTTCGGACGCCTTCATCTCGCTGACCCTCACTTTCTCCAGCTTGCTGTCCACCAGGATGGAGTAGTAGATGAAGAAGCGTCCGTTCTCTCTGTGCTTTGGGTGGAAAGCCATGCCCAGGAAGCCCCTCTCGTCCCCCAGCCAGCCCGTGGTCATCACCTCCCCGCTCAGATCCAGGAAGGGCGTCTCCAGCCGGCTGCCGTCACGCAGGTAGACCCACACGAAGCCCACCTGAGAGGGAACGTCTTAATGAGCGGGGTAATAAGAATCATAGAAGCTTTCAGGAGAGAGAATTCACCGCTTCAGGCTGAATGTAATATCTTTCTCAATGCCTGTTTAATAGTAGTAAATGATAGACTCTGTGAACTTAACTTAATTCGACCTTGCATGCATTTAAGACTAGAGAAATGCCATTACTCTGATTGGTTAGCTGGCCGGCTCTGTTGTGATTGATCAACCGCTTAGAGATGTCCCGCCCCTTAGTCTATCACAAGCAATGTGTTGGAGCGCCAGCCAATAGAAGCGCCAGTGTCCCATAATGATGTCACTATGTTCAGCAGGTAAACAAAGGAGTCCAATGGAGGCGTTTCCAGATCATTTACATGCACACAAACCTAACGAACACACTACAGGGAAGAGCCCCTTCAAACAGCACCTGCTCTGCGATGAACATGCGATGCGTGCCGTCTCCACTGTGCAGCATCAGCACCGGGTTCCTCAGGTTGTTGGCCACCTCCGTCAGGCACAGCTGCAGACAGCCCCGGGGGTCCTCGGCCACGCGGCCCAGGTTGCTGTTGAGGTTGGAGCTCTGCAGCACGTTGGGGTAGCAGTAGTCCTGGTCCTGTAGGTCCACCATGCTGCAGAAGGTGGAAGCGTCTCGCTGCGACGTGTCCTGCAGCAGCCGGTTCTCCGTTAGATATTTCACCACGTGGCCACATTTACCGTGGAACTTGGAGCAAAATCCAGAGCAGAGGCCCGGCAACTCTCTGACGGGAGTGTAGGGGTCCTCGGCATCGAACAGGTGGGCGGCGTACGGAGAGCACTCCTGGAGAAAAACCACCAGACACTGCTGATTATCACAGAGGCGTTTCACGGCTAGAGAGGCTACACAGGGAAATGAAAGGGACACCTTGGCTGGCTTCAAGGACTTTTGAGTGTTAGATCAAAGCGGAGGCATGGAGTGACCCTTTTAACTATCTGACAAATAGTGTGTGTAGCTTTTTTTTATACACGCGAAACCAGCTGAGGACTGATTAAAATCTCTCCCACTAAGACAAAAGCCAGAGTAAAGAAAATGTTCGGCAATAAAAAACAAGGTTTAATAGGACAAAGACCAAATCTGGTTTTGAAAAAAGGCACTCTGCCCCCTTTCCTCTAAGTACGCCACTGTTTTACAATATATGGGAACATTTAATAGTAATATTTAACTAATTTCAAGATTTGTATTGGAGTTATTAAAGTTATTTGTAGGAATTATAAGCGTTATTTACATGTTTTTGTAAAATTCTTATAAAAAACTACGAAAAAACAGGTCCCCTCTCATCACAAAATCACCTCTGAATTCTGCATGACTTTTAATTGAGATTTGTATGAAATGAGATAAAAAGAAGAGGAATTATAGAAAGTAAATACAAGTTGCATGATGCCTGACATTAAATGCTGCATTATTTTAAATGTAAATATGTATTAAATCAGATTAGAGAACAGGAAAAATAGCAGACTAAAGAGGTTGATAATGAGAATCACTTTAATGATGGTTTGGATTAAACTGAATGTAGAAGCATTTAGCAATGTTTTAATCTGTGCCAGCAACGTCTTATGCCCATTCCATCACAAGCCAATATAAAAGCATGTACCGACCTGGCACATGACCTCCTTCAGCAGGTCCTCACACAGATCTTCCCCCCTCGTGTCCAGCTGGTCGATGATGTCCCAGTATCTCTCCGCGATCATGTTGTCCATCTTCTGATCGCAGCAGCCGAACTGCTCGTACTGCGTGCAGAACTCCAGGTGCCATAAAGGTTTGAAAGGTGGCGCGAAGTCCAGACACTGAGGGTGCGCTGAGGCTGGAACCAGCACCACGACGGACACGAGGAGAGGGAAAAATGAGGGAAGGATTGAGCGCTTTTTGGATGAGCTCGGACCTGACACCGTGCGTAAATACGCGCAGACGGCTCCACTTGGATGAAGCGCAGCATCCCGCATACCTGTAATTTTCCCGTCTGCAACCGAGAGACTTCCACTGTTTGCTCTCCTTTTTATGCGTGCGCGTACACATGTATGCATGTGCTATAGGCGTGTGTAAAAGCACCAGCCAATCCCAGTATCATATGCAAGATACACACAAAAAAACAACGCACCTAAACTCCAGTAAACTGCAGCCCGTAATTAGTAACACATAAAACTAAATAAATCTGTGGTCGTTCGTAAAGTTAATTAGGATGTCTTTATTGTAAATGTTCACCACCGCAGTGATGTTGGCGGAGGAATACTCACAATTAACTCGAAAGGACACACACGCACACACACACACACACACACACACACACACACACACACACACACACACACACACACACACACACACACACACACACACACACACACACACACACACACACACACACACACACACAGAAACACAGAAGTGGTAGAAGAATGACATGTTTTTTATGCAAACCCCGGCCCTTATCTGAAAAGTAACTTAAGCTTTAAAACAATATAATATAGTGGAGTAAAATACATGTTCACCTTTTAAATGGACTGGAGTAGAAGTATTCATAAGCAATAAAAAGGAGGTACGGTACTTGAGTAAATGTACTTAGTTACTTTCCAGCAATGCAAACAAACAACAAGGGTACAGTTTCCAGGAATGCATACATCAACACGCAGCCACAACACAGACTGTAATTAAGTCTCTCAGTCATGTCGGAGCGCCTGCAGGCAGCGTGTGTTCCAGCATTTGGCAGCAGCTGCTTCATCCTGTAAATCTAAAAACGGTCCCGGGTCCGGCACGTCAAACTCTGACTTAATGTTAAAGCAAACATGTCATCATTTACTAATGCTGCCAGAGAGAAAGAATTATGACATATTATTCAATACGTTCCCAAAGCACGGGCTTATTAAGTAACTCAGATATTGGAAACCTTTAGAAGACGGTGACAAGTTTAAAGTTAAAGTGACCCTATTGTCCTCATGTTCAGGTGTTTATCAGTATGTAGTGTCTCTACTTTAAAGAGTCCTCTCCTGCTGATGTTCAGGTGTATATCAGTATGTAGTGTCTCTACTTTAAAGAGTCCTCTCCTGCTGATGTTCAGGTGTATATCAGTATGTAGTGTCTCTACTTTAAAGAGTCCTCTCCTGCTGATGTTCAGGTGTATATCAGTATGTAGTGTCTCTACTTTAAAGAGTCCTCTCCTGCTGATGTTCAGGTGTATATCAGTATGTAGTGTCTCTACTTTAAAGAGTCCTCTCCTGCTGATGTTCAGGTGTATATCAGTATGTAGTGTCTCTACTTTAAAGAGTCCTCTCCTGCTGATGTTCAGGTGTATATCAGTATGTAGTGTCTGTACTTTAAAGAGTCCTCTCCTGCTGATGTTCAGGTGTATATCAGTATGTAGTGTCTCTACTTTAAAGAGTCCTCTCCTGCTGATGTTCAGGTGTATTATCAGTATGTAGTGTCTGTACTT